ACCTGGACTTCTGTTGCACTCAGTGATGTGGTCTTGTCTCCCTTTGGCTTTGCTCTATTTTAAAGTGGCTTTAGATATTACTACTGCTCAGTGTTTATGAGCCTTCCTAGTCCTGTGATACTCCGTGAATGCAGCTAAAACGCAGTGGGAACCTGTTAGAAAAAGGAGCGAGTACTTGCTGTGGCTGTCAGAAGCGGCACCTCCATTGTTGGTTGCTGCGTTTGCCCCGGAATCAGAGCAGCTGTGACTCTTGCAGGTGTCCTGCTGAGCCATGGCGGTCTTTCCAGGGAGCCTCCGGTAGGGGAGCAGTCGCCCTGTCGTGGCTGGTCTGGAGAGAGCGCGGTGCCAGCACAGGCGCTGTCCCTGGAGGTTCCAGGCACTGTGGCAAAACCTGGGTGGGTCCTGTCCGTCCTCCGCCGCCGACTGTCCGAGTTCCTGCCGCGGGAGAGCAACAAGTGGCTGATCCCATTCCTTCCTTAGCGCTCTGAGCTGTGGGTCCAGGCAGCCCAGGACTGACTGGCCTGTTTCTGTTGTTTTGGTTATAAACCACCCTGTGGGATTGACAGAGCTACGTCTTCACGGTCCTCACAAGCACGTGTGTGTCGCCACACGCGGAGTGGGGCTGTGCTGTGTGTCTGTGTGTACATATGTGTATATGTATATATCATGCGGCAGGCCTGTTGTGCTGCTGTCCAGTGGTGAATCAACAAGTACAATAAAAGTTGGCTCTAAGACAGCCTGTGGTTTCTTGGCCAGTTGGATAGAGACAAGGGCTCTGGTTCAGGCAAAACCCGGACCAGGGTTTGTCTGCGAGACATTCATCAGAATCGGGCTCCTGGCAGGGCTGAGTGGAAGGCGTGGGGAAGGGAAGGCCCTGGTTCTTCCTCAGCTCACGCCCAGGGCTGCAGGTTTGGGAAATCTAGGGAACTAGCTCTTCCTCCCTTGAAACATGAAAAACAGTTTTCCAAACACCAGACACAATCAGTGACGGCGCATCTGAAGGGCGGCTTTTAGCCGTGAGCTCTTTGCTGTGTGTGCCAGGAGGGGCCAGGCCCAGGGGTACCCTCTCTAGGGAGGGACTGGTTGGAGCGCCTTACATTTGGTGACTTTCAGGCAGTGTGCCACTCGCAGTGGGAAGAGCAGGTTTACACTGAAGTATAGAAACTGTAAGAATTAAAAAGTGCATGGAAAGCAGCCATCCGTGCGCTGGCTTAACCCCAGTAGGAGTCTGAGGACATGGTGTGGGCTGCTGTCCGATCCCAGGCTGGCCTGACCCCCGTGCAGTCCAAGGGCCGCGCGACAGGCTGTGATGATTCCGCATGGTGACCTCCATCTCCTGTGTCCGAATGTTGACCAACAATAAAGATAGCTACTGTAAAATAAATGTTTTCACTGCAGATCAGGTGTGTGCCTCCTACTTGACGTTCCTGCAGAAATCCATTTTCAGTGATTCTTGTCGTGGGGTAGATAGCACCTCTGCCGCCCCTAGGTCCCCTGGGAGCCAGAGTCTCGCTTCCCTCCTGTCTGGTCTGCCGAGGCACTGACCCTTAGCAGCCTCGCTTCCGCCCCTTTGGTGATTGATTGGCAAAAAGAGTTTCATGGACTTGGCTGCCCAGGCTGGCTTTGAGCTGTGATCTTCTGAGCGCAGCCTCCTGAGTAGGTAGGATTACAGGTGTGAGCCACCAGCGCCTGCTCACTTCTATCCTCTAGATACCAAGATGGGAGTAAGGAAAGGAATCTGCTAACTAATGAAGCTCATAAGCAAAAGGAAGCTTGGAGCATGTTTGGGCTTGCGTGGGTAAGTATGTTCCCCTACAGCCACAGCGTCTGTGAGCCTGGGGCCACACTGCTGGTCAGCCGACTCATCCTGTTCTTCCATCCACTTGGCTGACCATGACCAACTCGCACCTGCCTTGGCTTCCAGAAACTTCCCTGGTGCTCTAGTACTCACTCTGCCCAGTAGGGATTGTCCTCCCTGGTTCCAGTTCCAGTTTGAATAGATGGGTGCAGCACAGAAACGGTGAGGGCGGCTGTAAGTCAGCGCCTGAGCTTACGTGTGCCTGGACGCTTTCCCCTGATGGAGCAGCACAGCCGGAGGGCAGAGGCCACCAACATAGCCCAGCTTCCACATTGGGCCAGCCCGTGTGTCTCCGGGAGCAGTGACCACTGCAGCTCGCCCAGAGCAGCTGGGGCTACCAGTGGCCCAGCCCACCGCCTTGCGTAGAGCACTGGCCGGGACATGCTGCCACACTAGCTCCAGCCCCTGTGTCTTGGGTCTCTGTTCTCCTTCTCTAGATTTAAGTGACGGGTCCTGTGTCCTGCGGGACCCCACGCACCTGCCTGAGAGCTTGTGTACCCTGGGGGCCAGTCCACACACTGGGAAGGCAGCAGGCGTGATACTCGGGGAGGGCTCTTGCTGGTGGCTCACACCTGTAAGCTACTCAGGAGGCTGAGATCTGAAGACTGCAGTTCAAAGCCAGCCCAGGAGCCGAGCGTTGGTGGCTCACACCTGTCATCCTAGCTACTCAGGAGGTTGAGATTTGAGGATCTCGGTTCAAAGCCAGCCCAGGCAGGAAAGTTCGTGAGATTCTTATCTCCAGTAAACCCCCAGAAAACTGGAAGTGGTGCTGTGGCACAAGCAGTAGAGCGTTTGCCTTGAGCTGAAGAGCGCAGGGACAGCACCCAGGCCCTGAGTTCAAGCCCCAAAACTGGCACACAAAAGGAAAAAAAGGTATTAGCACAAGAGAAGCCATCCTGACCCAGAGGAACCAGGGTTTGGCTGTCAGGTCTGCTGGGTGAACCACGGTCCCGTCCAGGAACACAGTGCCCCATGAGCGCTTGCTCATTTGACCAGGGCAACACCCTCTCGGAGGAGAGGGGCACAGCAGGATCTGGAGGGCCACTGGCAAACCTGGAGGGAGTGGGGTGAGCACGTGCCAGTGGATAGACCCACGGACTTCCTTACTGGCCTGTTTGTCAGGGACAGGCGCTCCCTCTCTCCCCCTCCCCCCCCCCCCCCCCCCCCCCCCCGCCCGGCCAGCTCCAGGGCACTGCTTGGGTGTGGTTGTACTGGAACTAGACATTGCAAGTCAAAGCCCTAAGCTGGAAGGTTGTTGGCATGCGACCCAGGCCTCAAGTCCAGGCTGCCAGCCTGGACGTCACCTCTGGAGTTGCCATGGCTCCCGACCCTTCCAGACCCTCGTGGGGCTGCCCTGTTCTTGCTCTCCTGACCCAAACGCAGCCAGGCCAGCATTCACGTGCTCCCCATAAACTTGCTTACAACCCGCCAATCTAAAAGGCCCTCTGGCTACCTCACTTCCTGCCTGGTGGGAAAAACTGTCCTAGCCTAGCCAGTGTTTCATCCAGAACAGCCTTCCCCAGGGCTGGTCTGGCCATCTTCAGCAGGGCCTTCCCTAGCTTACCCCAGGCCACCACACCCCCAGCATGCGTGACCCCGTCAGGGTGGCAGGCACGTGTACCTTTTAGCACTGTGTCACTCCAAGGTTCCCAGCACCTCAGCCCCCCCCCCCCACCCTCCCACCAAGGCTCCCATCCACACCATGGACCAGCTGTGCTGGGCAGGCCGGCACCTCGCAGGCTGACAAACCGGAGATGCCCTGCAGACACCTGGAGGCACCGCCTGTGTGCAGCTGCTAGCCAGAGCAGGTGGGCTTCTCGGGGGCCTCGCCCCGACTGTCTGGACGAATGCACAGAGCGCTGGGGCTGCGTCAGCTTGCCACACAGCCCCTGGAACTCAGGCCGTCTGCAGCTTGGTTTCTGTTCACTGCACTTGGCTTCCCTCAGCCCAGGGGCGTCTCACCCTTTGGCCTGCACTGGGCCTAGGGGAACCCCGGAACCCAGAAGGCAGCATAAGGACCAAATTTAGCTTCAAGCCTCGTCATGGCAGCAGCTGTGCTGAGCTTGGCTGGAAGCTGGGAGCTGAATCCTGGTCACTTCCGAACGCCAGCAGGCCCCAGGCCACCCCCTAATGGAGAGACTTCCCAGCAGCACCCTGGTCTTCACGGGGTGAAGCAGGACTTCAGGCCCAAGCCTTCTGCCTCTGTGCTTCAGGAAGGAGAAAAAGAGTACTTATGCTGAGGGACTAAGCCACTGGGCCCATTCCTTCCAGCCCTGAGCCTTACCGTGTACACTCGATACGTCTGTCTGTGGTGTGTGGTACGCTGCAGGCAGACTGTGTGTGCATGTGGTTTTGTCTTCTGGGAGACAATCCCTCTGGCTGAGGAGTCCATAACCTGACCCCTGTTCAGCTCCTAATTCATTTCCCCCATTCCTCATAGGGAAGACTGGAGTGAATGACCCTGTCTGCAGGTCAGTGACTCCACGGATGGGGTCTTGAAGGCATGGGAAAAGGCCCTCTCATGGGGCCTGGAGACAACCCTGCTTCGGGTGTGACACCAGTGCCTGGCCACCCCGCAGACAGCCTGACAGAGGCTCGGGCAGCACACGGCAGCTTCCCATCCCCCCCAGTGAGCCGAGGCAGGCAGGAGGGCCCAGCCCCCTTGCCATCCACACAGCCTGGGTACGGTGTGAGCCACCTGAGGCAGGCTGCACCTCTGGAGTCAGCGGCAAAGGCAGGGCTACACATGGGGAGCCAGACTCTCAACACTTGGCCCACAACAGCAGCTGTGCCTCCTGCAACCGCTCAGCTCCTCTATCAACAGCAGCCCTGGCTTCTGCGCAGTCCCTTGATGACACACGTGGCTGTGGAGGGGTCAGAGAGGCCCCTGCGTGGACCCCTGGGTCCAGGTCAGGTGGTTAGGGTCTCCGTCTAGCAAAGGAAGGCCCTGTTAGGCCCAGTTCTGCCCTCATGTCCATCTGGCAATGAATCCTAACTTCTTCAGGGAGGACAGCGGGAGCATGCAGTCCTGCTGGGCGCCAGGGTGGAGGTGGGTGAGACTGGGGCAGCCTAACTCCTGGGGAGAGCACGCTGCAACCCAGCTGACCAGTCACATCTTTACTTTCTGAAGCTTTGCTTTATGAATGTGTAAATCAAGCTTTATTGGTAGCATCTTCTTAACCATCCACAGGACAGGAGGCGGCCGAGGCCAGCCTGGGTGCTAACCAGTGCAGGCTGCCTCCTCCTCGTCACTGCCCTCAGGGACCGCATCTGTCCCAAAGTAGCGATCGCCGAAGTTCCCTGGAGAAAGAGGCAGCCCAGTGTGGTTGGGGTCTCCAGGGACCACCAGCCCCGCCCCCACGACCCACAGAAGGGCCAAGCGCCTTACCGATGCCTGGGATGATTCGAAAAAGGTCATTGACCCGCTTGTCCACCGCGGTTGTGATGATCCTCACCCGGGGGAAGGCGTAGGCCACCGAGTGCACACCCATTTCCGCCATGAGCAGGGACAGCAGGAAGATCTTGTCCTCAGGCACATCATGGTCCTGCCCAGCACAAGGATCAAGTAAGCCCCACCTCCACAGGGGCCGCCTGCAGCCCACCCAGGCCACCCACCGGGAGCCCACGCGCGGCACCGTGGAGGGCACCGTGGAGCGCATGCGCGGCACCGTGGAGAGCACGCGCGGCACCGTGGAGCGCACGCGCGGCACCGTGGAGCGCACGCGCGGCACCGTGGAGCGCACGCGCGGCACCGTGGAGGGCACCGTGGAGCGCACGCGCGGCACCGTGGAGGGCACCGTGGAGCGCACGCGCGGCACCGTGGAGGGCACCGTGGAGCGCACGCGGCACCGTGGAGCACGCGCGGCACCGTGGAGCACACGCGGCACCGTGGAGGGCACCGTGGAGCGCACGCGCGGCACCGTGGAGGGCACCGTGGAGCACGCGCGGCACCGTGGAGCACACGCGGCACCGTGGAGCACACGCGGCACCGTGGAGCGCGCGCGGCACCGTGGAGCACACGCGGCACCGTGGAGCACACGCGGCACCGTGGAGGGCACCGTGGAGCGCACGCGCGGCAACGTGGAGGGCACCGTGGAGCACGCGCGGCACCGTGGAGCACACGCGGCACCGTGGAGCACACGCGGCACCGTGGAGGGCACCGTGGAGCGCACGCGCGGCACCGTGGAGCGCGCGCGGCACCGTGGAGCGCGCGCGGCACCGTGGAACGCGCGCGACACCGTGGAGCACACGCGGCACCGTGGAGGGCACCATGGAGCGCGCGCGTGGCACCGTGGAGCGCGCGCGGCACCGTGGAGCGCGCGCGGCACCGTGGAGGGCACCGTGGAGCACGCGCGGCACCGTGGAGCACGCGCAGCACCGTGGAGCGCACACGCGGCACCGTGGAACACGCGCGGCACCGTGGAGCGCGCGCGGCACCGTGGAGCACGCGCGGCATCGTGGAGGGCACCGTGGAGCGCACGCGCGGCACCGTGGAGGGCACCGTGGAGCGCGCGCGGCACCGTGGAGGGCACCGTGGAGCGCGCGCGGCACCGTGGAGGGCACCGTGGAGCGCGCGCGGCACCGTGGAGCGCGCGCGCGGCACCGTGGCCGTCTGCAGCCCACTTACCAGGAGCACACGCACAGCCATCATGGCCGCAGCACCTGTGGACACGGTGCAGTCCATCAGGATCACATGGTCCTCACTGATGTCCTTGGGCAGCCTCAGGTAGTGGAGCTGCGGGGGCCAGACTAGGCTATGCCCACCTGTCGGGCTCCCAGGGCCCCCAGCCCCTCCCTGGGCCGCTGCCCCACACTGCCCCGGCCCACCCCCAGCACCTCGGGCTCCCCTGTGAGCTGGTTGGTCTGGATGAGGATGGTGCCGATGCGCACATCTTTACACACAGCACGCAGCGCAGGCTCCATTGTCTCCCCAGCGCGCAGGATAGACACCCCGGTGATCTGGGAGGAGGGGGAGGCTGAGCAAGACCGGGGACTCGTCCTCCCCAGACCCTGCCTGACCTCCAGCCCCGGCTTACCTGCTTCCCTGCATAGCACTTGCCCGCATAGTCCTGCCCCTGCGGGGTCTGCACCACACAGTCCTACGCACAGGGGGGAGTGTTAGTGGGCCCTGGGCAGACGCCCAGCCCACCCGCAGCCCCGCCCCACGGCACCTGGAAGGGCAGGAAGGAGAGTGCGTGCTCGATAAGCAGCCTCATCAGTCTCTTGGAATAGAAGATGAATTCATCCCGGCTGGTCTCCTTGTCCCTGGAGAGGGAGCGTGCTTAGAAGCGCGTGGGCTCCAAGAGAAGGCCCGCCCCGGGCAGAGGCTCACCTGATGATGGTGTGCATGCCGCGCACCTGGGGTGTGCTCTTGAGGACACTCAGTGTCTGGGGAAGCGGGTGGCACTGATGTGCGGAAGCCAGCGCAGCCCTGGGGAATGAACCGGTCAGGGCGACTCACCCAGGGGGCATCTTGCCCAGAGCCCTGCTCTTCCCCACAGGACAGCTGCACCCCGCACTGGGGGGCAGGTGTGGGGGCAGCGGGGTGTGCAGGGTGAGAGCGGGCTGCCTGGCCACGGTTAACCTCGCTGGAAAAGCCCCGTCTTAGCTCCAGGCAAAGGTGAGGTGCTAGCATGGCCGCTGCGCCGGCCCCGGGAGGAGGGGGCTCCAGGGGCCCTCCCTGGCTCAGAGGAAGCAGAGGGCCAGACAGAGAGGAAGGGAGACAAACAGTGGGGGTGGGCAGTGCTGTCAACCCCTGGGGCGGAGCCCTGCTCCGGCCAATCTCCCAGAGAGCTCAGTCCCTATCTGGAGAGCTGGCAAGGCTGGCTGGCGCTGATGCACCTGCCCCACCCACAGCCCAGCTCAGGGGCCGGGAGGGAGGACGTGTGCGAGGTGAGGTGCGAGGAGCAGGAGGGGCCACGGTGGGTAGGGAGGGCAGCGGGAAGAGGGGAAGGGGCAGGGAGGGGCAGCGAGAAGAGGGGAAGGAGGTGGGAAGGGGCAGCGGGAAGAGGGGAAGGGGCAGGGAGGGGCAGCAGGAAGAGGGGAAGGAGGTGGGAAGGGGCAGGGAAGGAGGGGAGAGTAGGAGGAGGGGAGGGGAGGATGGGAGGGGAGGGGAGGACGGGAGGGGAGGGGCAGTGCGGGAGGGGGTGGCACACAGCGCGGCACAACCAGAGCGCGCTCTGCTCACATATCCCAACGCAGCTTCCTCTGCTCGCCAGGTGAAGAGCGTGTTCAGGGAGGGAACAAGGCAGGAAACGGGTTTACAAAGAGGAAAAGAACAAAGAGAAGAACACTTAGTTGGGGCAGCAGCAGAGTTCCTGCGAAGAAGCGGAGGCCAGGCACCAGCCTTGGCACTCAGAGGTGAGGGGTGGCACACCGGCCACCCGGCAGCAGCCCCCTCCTAACACCAGCAACGTCCTGGACTCTTCGGCTGACCCCAGAATGGAAAGCGGAGCTGGCTACACCTGGACACTTTCCTTGGGAGGCCCTGACCGAGCCCTGCGGTGCCCAGCGGTCAGTGGTGGGGAAGTGAGGCAGCCTGGTAAAGATGGCCCTGGGGGCACACGGGCGCCCACGCGTGGCCCAGCTCGGGAGCAGGGCGGACCCATGGTGCTGACCGCACCCTCCCCAGACCAACTCCAGCCAGAGGGACCCCTGCTGCTGCTCCCGCCTGGGCACCGCCTGGGCACCGCAGGGCTGGGCAGGGAGGGAGGAGCCAGGGCCAGCCTGGGCCGCCACATCTGGAGCCCAGCCGGCCGGAGGCAGACCCAGACCCTGGCACCCCGCCCTGCGGGTCTGTCTGGGGACTGGGAGCTGCGGGCCGCCTGGCTGAGGAGAGCCAGCCCAGGGCTCCATGAGGATGGTGGAAATGCCTCCATCTGTGCAGACGGCTGCGGAAGTCTTACCTGACGCTGAGTTCACGCTGTGGCAGCAACACAGGGAGACACAAGGGAATGGGTGACGTATCAGTGACCGGGGCAGTGGCCAGGCCACCCCACCCGCCCGGGAGCAGACACACCACAGCCCCATGGGGAAAAGGCTCAGGTGGCCGCCAGTAGTGGGAGGCGGTGAGTTTCTAAGGCCCTTTATTATGAAGACTGCCTGGGTTAGAACCTGTTGTTCCAGTCTGGGAAGAGCCAGAACCTCTTAGCTACACTCTGCAGGATCTGGGCCTCTAGCACTCTATTAGGTCTGCGACAGACTCTAAGACTCGGCTGCAGAATGCCTGCTGTGGGGCCCATGCTGGGTGTGGGACTCAGCCCTGAAACTACAGGCCTAGGCCAATGGACAGAGCATCATCCTCATCATTCCCAAAGGGATGCCCAGGGAGCACTCCTTCCATGGAAAGCCAGACAGAAGCACACCCTCCCCACAGAGCACAGACAGGGAGCACACCCTCCCCACAGAGCACAGACAGGGGAGCACACCCTCCCCACAGAGCACAGACAGGGAGCACACCCTCCCCACAGAGCCATGGACAGGGAGCACACCCTCCCCACAGAGCACAGACAGGGAGCACACCCTCCCCACAGCACAGACAGGGAGCACACCCTCCCCACAGAGCACAGACAGGGAGCACACCCTCCCCACAGAGCCATGGACAGGGAGCACACCCTCCCCACAGAGCACAGACAGGGAGCACACCCTCCCCACAGAGCACAGACAGGGAGCACACCCTCCCCACAGAGCCATGGACAGGGAGCACACCCTCCCCACAGAGCACAGACAGGGGAGCACACCCTCCCCACAGAGCACAGACAGGGAGCACACCCTCCCCACAGAGCCATGGACAGGGGAGCACACCCTCCCCACAGAGCCATGGACAGGGAGCACACCCTCCCCCACAGAGCACAGACAGGGGAGCACACCCTCCCCACAGAGCACAGACAGGGAGCACACCCTCCCCACAGAGCACAGACAGGGAGCACACCCTCCCCACAGAGCCATGGACAGGGAGCACACCCTCCCCCACAGAGCACAGACAGGGGAGCACACCCTCCCCACAGAGCACAGACAGGGAGCACACCCTCCCCACAGAGCCATGGACAGGGAGCACACCCTCCCCACAGAGCCATGGACAGGGAGCACACCCTCCCACAGAGCCATGGACAGGGAGCACACCCTCCCCACAGAGCCATGGACAGGGAGCACACCCTCCCCACAGAGCCATGGACAGGGAGCACACCCTCCCCACAGAGCACAGACAGGGGAGCACACCCTCCCCACAGAGCACAGACAGGGAGCACACCCTCCCCACAGAGCACAGACAGGGAGCACACCCTCCCCACAGAGCCATGGACAGGGAGCACACCCTCCCCCACAGAGCACAGACAGGGGAGCACACCCTCCCCACAGAGCACAGACAGGGAGCACACCCTCCCCACAGAGCCATGGACAGGGAGCACACCCTCCCCACAGAGCCATGGACAGGGAGCACACCCTCCCACAGAGCCATGGACAGGGAGCACACCCTCCCCACAGAGCCATGGACAGGGAGCACACCCTCCCCACAGAGCCATGGACAGGGAGCACACCCTCCCCACAGAGCACAGACAGGGAGCACACCCTCCCCACAGAGCCATGGACAGGGAGCACACCCTCCCCACAGAGCACAGACAGGGAGCACACCCTCCCCACAGAGCCATGGACAGGGGAGCACACCCTCCCCACAGAGCACAGACAGGGGAGCACACCCTCCCACAGAGCCATGGACAGGGAGCACACCCTCCCCACAGAGCCATGGACAGGGGAGCACACCCTCCCCACAGAGCCATGGACAGGGGAGCACACCCTCCCCACAGAGCCATGGACAGGGGAGCGCACCCTCCCCACAGCGCCTGCCTCTGGCTGGACCATTGCAGGGAGGAGTCCTCCAGCCAGGGCCAAGCACCTGGACCCGGCCCATCACAAAGGGCTGGGACTGGCCCAGAGTGCAGGCCTAGGGCAGTCAGAGGCTGGTGGCTGCAGGGGAGAGTGAAGGGGGTGGGGGGAAGGTGAGCAAGCTGCTGGAAGGGGAGAGGAAACAGCAGCGGGGGACTCCAGGGCCCCGGGCACTGCCGGGCAGCTCACCTCCTCCAGCTGGCTGTGCACATGCTGCACAATCAAGTCGATGGCCACTGTGTTCCCACTCCCTGGAGGGGCAGAGAGGAGGGACACTCAGATGCTCAGGTATCCGTCCGCCCCACCCCAAGGCAGGGGCCTGGCCGCCCGGTAGGCTTACCTCTGGGCACCACAATGTCTGCCAGACGCATGGTGGGCTGGATATACTGGTCAAAGGCGGGCTTGACAAACTTGTTGTACTGCTTGATGACACCTTCGATGTCACGGCCTCGCTCGCTGATGTCCCGGCGCAGGCGCCGCACCAGGCGGACGTCAGAGTCTGTGTCCACAAAGATCTTCATGTCCAGGAGCTGCACAGGGACAGGGACAGGGCTGAGGCCTAGGCCGGAGGGCAGTCAGATGGCCGAGGAGCCTGGCACCCAGTGTGACCCAGGGCCAGCTGCTGTGGTTTGCAGTGGTGTGCGGAGCCGTGGGCCCTGAGGAATCAGACAGGACCTGGGCTGGGCAGTATGGTATTCCTGTGACCACCTAATGTAGCTCCCAAAACATGGGGAGCAGGGGCTTGGTGAACCCGGTCTGACCGGCACTCGGGTGACACGTGGCAGTTGTGTGCACAGAGGGGCTTCGGGCTTCACTCTGTGGGGGGGGGGGGGGGTGCAAGGTGAACCGCCCTAACGTACAGCCCTCAGCAAGGAACGAGAATAACAAGAGCACAACAGCTGTAAACCGGCTCCAGAGGGAGGAAACAGGAACCGTGGTCTCCGCAGCCACCCCCCACTCTGCCAGCAGCACTCCCCATGCCCGGGGCACCTGCGTGGGACTCGCTCGGAGGCCCTGGGGCTCTGGGGACGCAGCTTGGAGGCCTTGGGGTGAGCCAGTGGGGAGCTGCATCGAGGTGGCTCCTACCCCCTGCAGGCTCTCACCTCCAACAGCGTCTTGTCAGCAAAGGCCATGATACCCTCAAATATGATGACATTTGCACCGTACAGCGTTTTCTGCAAAGGAACCTAGAAAGTGTCAATGCCCAGCTTATGCCTCTGCTGCCCCGTCCGGCCCCCGGCCCTAGGCCTACCCAGTCCTTTTTCCGGCTGTGAGTGGTAAAGTCATAGATGGGCACTTGCACACTTCTGCCCTGCTTCAGCTTCTTGAGGGTGGAGATGATGAGGTTGAAGTCGAAGGCATCAGGGTGATCAAAGTTGAAGTTGTTGCGAGCAGCCTGCTCCTGCTGCTGCTGTGTCAGGACCTGGGGGCAGTGGGACTGTAGGCAGGCCTGAACCACGGGGGTATGGGGAGCAGAGGGAAGAGGGCCCTCTGGGGCACTGAGGAGCCTCACCTTGTAGAAGGAGTCCATGGACAGCAGAACCACCCAGGGCACGTCCAAGGCCTCGATGATCATCCGGGCCACGGTGGTCTTCCCAGAGGCACTGCCCCCGCCCAGGCCTGTCAGGTGAGCGGAGGCCCGTGGTTAGGAGCAGCTGGGCTGGCCGCACGGGCATGCCCTGCCGGCGCCACTCTCACCGATGGCAAAGGCCTCCTTGGACTGTGTGCCGTGCTCATTGTACCAGGGCGGCCGTCCAGCCGTGTAGATGGTACGTTTGCTGGTGCGCAGCAGGGGTGGCTCAGACTTGCACTGGCTGGTGGTACGCTTCCTGGGCGAGCGCCCGGTGCCAACGGGCGGCAGGAGTCTGTCCAAGGACCCTGTGTTGCCACTGCAGAGAGGGACACTGAGCATCAACCTCAGCTGCCGGCAAGACCACACTCAAGGGGGGCAGGCAGGAGCATGACGACCCGCGCACGACGTCGGCCGCAGCCCATGGCAAGGGCGGGCGTGGGGCAGACAGAGCCTTGGGCCGTCTGTCCACAGCAAGCAGCAACAGGGGACACCAGGACGCACTGCCACAGCATCGGCTCCTCTCCGCTCCCAGAGGCAAGCAGGCACTCAGGGACAGGGTCCACGGAGGACTGTTTCTTTCTCCCCCTCAGCTCAGTACGCGCTAGCAGTCTGGTCCTGTCACCCCATGGGCCAGGCACCTTGAGAGGTGGAGAGCGGTGTGCAGGCCAGACGCCAGCGACAGAAAGGCCGTGTGCAAGGCTGTGTTCTTGCCTGGCCTCTCAGACTGTCAGGGAACAGGACAGACAGGATGGGAGGGCCCAAGATGGACACCATCAGCAACCTGCAAATGCCACCAGCCTGGGCTGCTTGGGAAGCTGACCCTGGGGGCTGGCATGGAGAAGCATCACCGAGGCCACGAAGGAAACGTGGAACCGAGGAGGCACCCTTACCTACCCCGCACCCCACCTGGCCCCTGGGGCCCTCACGGTGGCGTGCCATTTGTGGCCACAGCCTCAAAACCCAGAGGGGAGCTCCGCGGTCTGCCTGAGGGGGTGGCGTACAGACCCCATCGCGATGAGCACAGGCTGAAGAGACTCTGGCCCCTGCCTAAGAGGGAGCAAACCGGCCCCGTCACATGATCCCAGAACCACCTGAATTTCAGGTCAGTGGTGTGGCCAGACAAGTCAGCCCACCCATGTGGACCGCTGATGATCGCGCAGGACAGAGTCCCAGGGCACGGAAGGTTATCTATAAAAATAGCCTGTGGGGCTGGGAAGGTGGCTCAGTGGTAGAGTGCTTGCCTTGCATGCATTGACACCCTGGGTTCAATTCCTCAGCACCACAGAAACAGAAAGAGCCAGAAGTGGCTTCAGTGGTAGAGTGCTAGCCTTGAGCAAAAGAAGCTCAGGGAGAGTGCCCAGGCTCTGAGTTCAAGCCTCAGGACTGGCAAAAAAAAAAAAAAAAAAAAAAAAAAGCTGGTGGTACAGGATGAGATCTTTGGGGTTCCTTCCAGCAGCAGCAGCAAGGCCTGGAGTCCCATGAGTGATGGAATACTGCACAAAGCACCAGGTACACCTGAGCTGAACGAGGTAGATCTACAGGTATACCAGGTACACCTGAGCTGAATGAGGTAGATCTACAGGTATACCAGGTACACCTGAGCTGAATGAGGTAGATCTACAGGTATACCAGGTACACCTGAGCTGAACGAGTAGATCTACAGGTATACCAGGTACACCTGAGCTGAACGAGGTAGATCTACAGGTCTGGGCAGAACAGGAGCATAGTTATGTGAGAAAAGCAAACTGTAAGGAGACAGGATTCCATGTATGTAAACAGCAGCAGAATGCTCATCTAGGGCTGGAGCTGAGGCTCAGCATTAGAAGACTGGGGTTTGATTCCCAGCACTGCCAAAACAAATGGAAGCTGTGCACCTGGATAGCAAGCTGTGCACACACAGAAAAGCTGGGGGCAGACATTTCCCAATCTTGGGAAGGGACTCATTACCTTTAGAACTTCTTACAGGCAACAATCCCTTGAGCATCAAACCCCAGGCCAGAAGCTGGGCATGACAGCAAACACCTGTGATTCCAGCATTCAAGAGGCTGAGGCAAAGCTTATGAGTTTGAGACCTGCCTGGGCTACACAGTGAATTTAAGGTAAACCTGGGATATAAGATAAGGTCCTGTCTCAAAACAAAACACAAACCCCTAACCCTGGGTCCTGCTGGGAAGTTCATCCTGCCGTCACCCCTCCCATCTCCAGGGGCTGTCGCAGGTCAGGCCACAGCAGAGGACAACTATGCACTAGAACACAGCCTGGATGTACTTACACGCTTTTCTTGTGGACAGTGCTAGTGTCTGAACTGAGACCCTTGCACTCTATCACATCTTGAGCCCTTCTGCTTTTTCTTTTTTTCTTTTATTAATTTTGGTGCCAGTACACAGGGCCTGGGGCTGTCCCTCAATTTGTTTTATGTTTTTGTGCTGGTTCTGAGCTTTTATGCTCTACTTGAGCCACAGGTCCACTTCTGACTTTTTGGTGGCTAACTCCTGCCCAGACTGAACCACAATCTTCAGACTTCAATCTCCTGAATAGTTAGGGTTATAGATGTGAGCTACTGGTGCCTGGCCTTCTGTGATTACTTTATCCCCTGGCCAGGAGGGATTCATGCTTCCTGTGACAGTTGGGATGTCAGGGTCTGATGAGATGCGACCTCTCACTCTTTTAGCAGGGTGGCCTAGAAGGTGGTCCTGGGCAAGCTTCTTCCGGTTTTCAGAATAGCTTAAACGTCTCCAGCTTGGGAACACTTAAGTGTGTAGGTACTCCTAGAGCTCAGCAGGGAGGAACCCAAGCCAGGAAGCCTGCCAGGTGGTTCATGCCTGTAATCCTAGCTACTCCAGAGACTGAGATCTGAGGACTGTGGTTCGCAGCCAGCCTGGGCAGAAAAGTCTGTGAGGCTCTTATTTCCAATAGGCTACTCAGAAAAAGCTGGAAGTGGCTCAAGCAGTTAGAGGCTCAAGGACAATGCCCAGACACTGAGTTCAAACCCCAGGACAGGAAAAGCAAAACAACAGCAACAAAAAGAAAAAAGTGGAAGCCTAACCTGCAACAAGTCAACCTGGCAATCCTCAGACACATACATGTGGACACAGCTTGGCCCATCTGCATCTGATTGAAAAAACATGGGAACTCGTCCTTGGGGGAAAGGAAGCCAGGCCCACCTGTTGCTACATCATCCGTCACCGGGAGAGCTTGGGAGTAAGCAGAGGGACTCATTAGCTGTCTGTGGCTCCAGAGCTGTTGGCACTGAGGCTGAGCACAAATAAGACAATCAGTACAGAGACAGCTAAGTGGGGACCCTGCACTCAGATGGGAGCAAGTACCCACAGCATTGTTGCTGGACAGTATGTGAGAGAAATAGGCCAGGATGTAAAGAGCTTCCTGAAGGGCTGGCTACCTCCCATACTCCTGCTTAGGCCTGCCTAGATGTCCCCAGATCCCAGGACAGAGGGCAGATGAGTGCTTACCTAGGTACACTAATCCATCCACAGTAAACAAACGGGTCTGTGAGGCTGGCTCCAGGGCTGCTGCTCCCAGTGGTGACAGCCAGGCGCCCAGAGCTCTGCAGAGTGGGTGGAGCCTGTGGCCCAGCCTGGGCTTAGCAACAGCAAGATGATGGCAGAGCCAGCAGCTCTGGAGGCCAGAGCAGGCAGAGAACACAAACCAGCTGTTTGCCTCCTCTCCGTGCTGCACTCACGATCCAAAGGAAACTGTCCTCTGCCTTGAACCTCTAACTTCCTGACAGAAACTCGCAGGCTGTCCTGGGAGGCCGGGGACTCCCAGTGGTAACAGACGCAGGGACAACACAGACACGGGAGGGAACCGGAGCTGTCCCTGTTTCCCTTGGGCTTTACCATACAGGGTTCCCTGGGAGCCTTAAGGTCCCCCATGAACACTAGCACAGATTGTGTGTGTGTTTGTGTGTGTGCTGGCCTGGGCACTGTCCCTGAGCTTCTTTTTGCTCAAGGTTAGTGTTCTACCACTTGAGTCACAGCTCCATTCTGGCTTTTTTTTTTTTTTTGGTGCTTAATTCAAGATAAGAGTCTCACAGAAAGCTGGGCACTGGTAGCTAGATATTCAGGAGGCTGAGCTCTAAGGATCAGTTCAATGCCAGCCCAAGCAGGAAAGCCTTGAAACTATTTATTTCCAATTAACCGCCAGAAAACCAGAAGTGGCGCTATGGCTCAAAGGACTAGAGCACCAGACTTGAGCAAAAAAGCAAAGGGACAGCATCCTGGCCTGAGCTCAAGTCCTACAACTGAACAAAAACAAAAACAAAAAAAAGTCTTACACTTTCCTGCTCTGGCTGGCTTCAAACTGAAATAGGATGACAGGTGTGAGCCACCAGTGCCCAGCCACAGGCTTTTCTTGAGGCTCTTAACCTAGTGCTTAACCTAGTGCAAACCCTTCTGTTGAGAAGGGTGCTCAGGCACAAGCAGACGGGGAGGGCTTTGCCAGAACTCTGCCGGCCCACACCTCCCTTGTAATGGGGGCTAAACCACCAGCCTGGGTCTGACTGCACCAAATGCAGCTCCACTGCCTTCCCCCAAATTAGTCTTTGCCTCTTGAAGCCAGGGACAAAGCCCCACCCGACTTTTCAACAAAGGTACTCCTTGAATGGAGAAAGTTATACAAAGGATCTTATTTCTTATTCCTTTTTTTCTTTTTTACTGTTAGGTATCTAAGGGCTTTCCTCCCCGTGTTTACTAGGACCATACACTATCAAAACTTTCAAAGGAGCTTATTTCTACAGATGAACAAGGGTACTCCTGTCCAGAAAAGAATCTCAAAGAAAAGGATAGAGTCACCACAGATATAAGAAACCCTTATCACCCACAGCCCCAGCCTAAGCCACGCCTGCAGCCCAAGCTCTGCACAACTCTCCAGAGTGCCCGCCAGCCTGTTTGTTTCCTGATACCCACAGACATGCAGAATGCACCGAGGTCGAGTGGCAGCTCTCTGTGGGAGTGGATTCTTATCAGCAGGACTCTGATGCAACTCACCTGCCTTCTGCTCCAAGGGTCCAGCACCCCGAGATCCTGATGCCAGGGTAAGCTGGGGGGCTGCTCATGGCTGAGGGCCCAGAGGTCCCAGAGGTGGGTTTTCCTGACAGCAGTGGGGCCCAGGTGTGTGTGGCCTAGGCGTTGGCAGTTAGGGTGGGTATTACTACCTCAGACCCACAGCCACCCCCAAGAACAGCCCAGGAGCTCCAGCCAACTGAGCTGGCCCTCCATGGGAGGGAACACGCCTACAGGCAGCCCTGCAGGTAAAGCACTGCCCTCCACCCCTCGCAGAGGCAGCCTCCACGAGCCGGAGGGGGCACAATAGCTGGAGGCCCCAGAAGTCCAAACGCAGCAAGGAAACACACTCACTGTCAGCTTCAGAGGCCAAGACCATAGGCCTAAGAGGATCACTCAGCTGAAGCTTCTACTCCAGATATTAATAGCAGCAACTCTGTGGCCTGCACAACCCCAGGCCAGCCAGCAGTCAGTGTGCGCTGCCCTCCTGTGTGCAGGCTGGCATGCTCAGCACCCTAGCTCCTTGGATTCCCAGGAAAAAGCACAGGTGTCCCTGCCCACCCCAGACACAGAACAGGGGATCTGAGGACCCTGCTGGCCAGATACTCTGTCAGCGCTGAGCCGGCATCCCACCCTTGGCCACAGGGTACCTCCAACAGCATAAACAAACCTGAAACTCTACCCTCCCCACGTCCGAGAATAACTGCCCTCCCCTCCCCCCAGTCCCTGGGAGGTCCTTTTGCCCACTTAAGTGCTTAGCATCAGCAAGGACACAGCCGCCACCTCCCTCTCCCCAGCCTGGAGGATCAGCTGACGAACGGGACTTGCCCAGAGGGTTCTGCTGGCCCCACACCTTCCTCCAGAGTGGGGGGACGGCCGGCTGGCTTCCAGCACTGAGACGGGGGAAAAGGGAGGATCTACACAGGCCTCAAGCAGGTGAAAGAGCCGCTCCTGGGAGCGGCCCTGGAGACACCCTCCCCTGGCCACAGGTAACTGGGTGCTTCCCCTCCAGAGGCCCCTGAGCCAGGCAGGCCTAACCCCAGATGTCCCCAAAAGCGAGTCCTATTGGATCCCACCCTCAAGGGCTGTCTTCACTCTAGCACTGGCAGGACCTGGCCCACACTCAGGGAAGTTTGTTGGTTTGTTTTTGTTTCTTTTTGGGTCCGGTCGTGGGGCTGAACTCTGGGCCTGGGCGCTGTTTCTCAGCTCTTCAGCTCAAGGCTAGCGCTCTACCACTTGAGCCACAGCGCCACTTCTGGCTTTTTTCTTTTTGCTTATGTGGTGCTGAGGAATGGAACCCAGGGTCTCATGCACGCAAGGCAAGAGCTCTCTACCACTGAGCCACCTTCCCAGCCCTCAGGTAAGTTTAAGCTGTCCTGGGCAGGGTGCCGAGTTGGAGCTCCAGGAAATCAGTTTACTGACTTAGCAGCTTACTGTCTGAGAAGAGTGGGGACTCAGGCTGCTGAGCCTGTCCTGCTCGGTCCTCACTTCCACTGGCCAGACCTATGGGTAAAAACCAAGATTCTTGGGCAGCCACATCACCAGCCCTGAAAAGGGAGGTCTGAGTCCAAGTGTGCAGCTAGTCTACTCCCCCAAAGAACCCCCTGCCTCCAGCCCATCAGTCCTGCCCTACTTCCCCTAACTGTGCATCCTGCGCTGCAGTTTCCTCGGGGTGGGGGTGGCCTAGTCGTCTCCGCAGACAAGCACCCGGCTCAGGCTTCGCTCTCTGCTGGCCAGTCCTGCAGAGCAATGTGGAGTGGGGCTCTGGCCCCTCCACCCCACTATCTTGCCACCGCTGGCCCACTGGGTACACAACACATAGGCTAGGGACAGACCCGCATCCCACCAAAAAAGCGGGAGACTTGTAGCAGTGCCTCACCGGTAATAAAAGACCACGGGTGATGACACAGAGGCCTGGCACACAGCCCGAGGCCCGAAAAACCAGAATCAAATGTCCACCCCGGGGACTGTGGAGGGGAAAGCTCGCCGCCTGGCCGCCCGCCGCCTCTCTCCCGGCCTCGCCCCCGGCCCCGGGGCCCAGGGCCGCTCTGTCTCATGCTTTTTCTTTTCTTTTCTGGTCGGTCGTGGGGCCTGAACTCTGGGCCTGGGCGCTGTCCCTGCGCTCTTCAGCTCCAGGCGAGCGCTATCACTGGAGCCGCAGCGCCACTTCCGGTCTTCCGGTGGGTCACTGGAGTTAAGTCTCAAGGACTTTCCTGCCCGGGCTGGCTTCGAACCGCGGCCCTCAGCGCTCAGCCCCCCCGGAGCCCACACAAAGCCGAGCTCCTCGGAGAGAAGCCGGAGGGAGGGGCAGCCTGATTCAAAGCTGGGTCTGGGACCGATGCCCAGGGAGGAGCCGGCGCTGCCTGGAAGCGGTGCGGCACCGGCTGGGCAAGCGCGGCCTCCACCTTGCCGCAGCCAGCCAGCGCGGGACGGCGACAGCGGAGCGCCCGGAGCAGCAGGGCGAGCCCGGCCCGGCGGCGGCCGACTCCAGGCTGGAGACCCAAAAGCTGCCTTGGGCGTTTGAAAACCTTACAGGAGCGCGGCGAGGGGCGCGGAGCGGCCGCCCGCGCGCGCCAGACCCGGAAGAGCCGCCCGCGCAGCCCCGAGCCTGGCCCCGCCCCGAGCCTGGCCCCGCCCCGCGGGCCCCGCCCACCCCGGCGGCCCGGCCACGCCCACCCCGGCGGCCACCCACCCCTGCGGCCCCGCCCCGGCGGCTCGGCCCCGCCCACCCCGGCGGCCACCCACCCCTGCGGCCCCGCCCCGGCGGCTCGGCCCCGCCCACCCCGGCAGCCCCGCCCCGGCGGCTCGGCCACGCCCACCCTGGCGGTCACGCCCCGGCGGCTCGGCCCCGCCCGCCCCGGCGGCTCGGCCACGCCCACGCCCCGCCCCGGCGCGGAGGCGCGGCGCAGGCAGGCCCAGCCCCTCGCGGGACGGTCGGGAGGCACGACGACGTTAGCTCACCCCTAGAACCAAACCCCTGGCGCAGATGGGCAGGGGCGGGCTGGACCCCGAGGGCGGGCCGAGCACACAACCGGCCGGCCTGTTCAGGGTCGAGGCCACCCACTCGGGATGGCGACCCAGGTGTTCCCGTCCTACAGGGGCCATGTCCGTCGTCTGGCCTCAGACGCACTAGCTGCCTGTCCACCTCCCACCCCTCACGGAGAGGACGTGCTGAGAGGCGGCCGGGGATGAGGAGGCCCGAGGGGGGGAAGCGAGGAGGGGGAGCGAAGAGGGGGGGAGCGGAGGGCCCGTGAGGAGGGGGGCAATGAGGAGGGGGGAAGCGAGGAGGGCGGTGGGGGGAGCGGGGGTGGGGGGAGCGAGGAGGGCCCGTGAGGGGGGGCAGTGAGGAGGGGGGCAGTGAGGAGGGGGGAAGCGAGGAGGGCCCGTGAGGGGGGCAGTGAGGAGGGGGGCAGTGAGGAGGGGGGGAGCGAGGAGGGCCCGTGAGGGGGGCAGTGAGGAGGGGGGCAGTGAGGAGGGGGGGAGCGAGGAGGGCCCGTGAGGGGGGGCAGTGAGGAGGGGGGCAGTGAGGAGGGGGGCAGTGAGGAGGGGGGAAGCGAGGAGGGCCCGTGAGGGGGGGCAGTGAGGAGGGGGGCAGTGAGGAGGGGGGGAGCGAGGAGGGCCCGTGAGGGGGGGCAGTGAGGAGGGGGGCAGTGAGGAGGGGGGCAGTGAGGAGGGCGGCGGGGGGAGCGAGGAGGGCGGCGGGGGGAGCGGGGAGGGGGCGGGGGGAGCGGGGAGGGGGCGGGGGGAGCGGGGAGGGCGGCGGGGGGAGCGGGGAGGGGGCGGGGGGAGCGGGGAGGGGGCGGGGGGAGCGGGGAGGGGGCGGGGGGAGCGGGGAGGGGGCGGGGGGAGCGGGGAGGGTGGCGGGGGGAGCGGGGAGGGGGCGGGGGGAGCGGGGAGGGGGCGGGGGGAGCGGGGAGGGGGCGGGGGGAGCGGGGAGGGGGCGGGGGGAGCGGGGAGGGCGGCGGGGGGAGCGGGGAGGGGGCGGGGGGAGCGGGGAGGGGGCGGGGGGAGCGGGGAGGGGGCGGGGGGAGCGGGGAGGGCGGCGGGGGGAGCGGGGAGGGCGGCGGGGGGGAGCGGGGAGGGCCGGCGGCGGCCCGGGCACACCGGGCGTTCAGCCGTGGAGGGTGGAGGTGGCGGGGGCCGCAGCGGCAGCCGGCGGCGCGGGGAGCCCCCCCCCTCCCTCCCTCCCCGCCCGCCGGGCCGCGCCGCGCCTACCGGTCCTCGCACTCGCGCGCGGCGGCCTCGCTCCGCTCCGCCGGCCCGCCCGGAGAGTCGTGAGCCGCGGCGGGCGGCGGGGGCGAGGGGGTGGCGTCCGCGGCGGCCGGCGGCGACGCAGCCATGGCGTCCCGAGCCCGGTGGCGGCCGGGGAGACGCGCGGGGCGCCGGGGCCGCGCTTGCGGACTACAAGCCCCACAAGGCCGCGCGGCGCCCGAGCCGCCCCTCCCCCACGAACTCAGCCGCACCAGGCCTGGAAAAAGCAATAGACATTTATTGATAGTCACTTCTCATCCGTACAGCGGCGGCCCGCCCTCCTCCCGGGCCTCCCGGGCCTCCCGCCGCGGGCAGGGCCGGCTCACCTCAGTCACACCTGGCAAATAAACACTTTGTAGAGAGCGCGTCTGTGTCTGTGCGCGGCGCATGCGCGCGCGCGCGCGTGCGTGCGTGTGTGGTGTGCGCGTGTATACAGAGGGTTACACGGGATAGCTGGAACCTGTCTTCCAAAATGCACTTGTGTGCTGAGAACCGGAGCCTCCCCCGGAGCCCTGCCCAACTAAAGTGCCGGGGCGGGAGGGCGGCCCGCCAGAGGTAGGTCTGCAGGCAACCCCGGCTGCATGGTCGCGCTGAGGGTCCGGGCCGGACCCTGGGGCCGCCGTGGGGGCTGGGGCACTGGGCCAGAGCTGGGAGGTAGGCACGCGGACCGGCTGGCCGCCAGTGTGGAAAGGGGGGGGCCAACCAACAGCCACTTCTGACAGCAGCTCCCATCCTCGCTGACCTCAAAGACAAAGAAGGGAGTTAAAGTGCTAAATATCAAGTCACCCAGGATCTCCATTTCCCACCAGGATTTCCTGTAGGCTTCAAGGACTGCCTTCCAAGTGCCAAGTACCTAGACAGGCTGGGGTGGGCGGCCATGCTATACAGAGGTGTTGGGGTACAACTTTCTCTGCCATAATAACAAGGGCAAAGTACACCTACCTGGTCCTCCTTTCCCCTACCTAGCTGCATACTACTGCTCAAAAGCCTCAACTTACCCTTGGACACTAGATCATACCCATACCCACTTTTTTTCTTTTTCGTAGGTCATGGGGCTTGAACTCTGGGCGCTATCCCTGAGCTCTTTTGCTCAAGGTAAGTATCCTACCACTTCAAGCCTCAGAGCCACTTCCAGTTTTCTGGTGGTTAACTGGAGATAGCCTCACTCACTTTCCTGCTTGGGCTGGCTTTGAACCACCATCCTCAGATCTCAGCCTCCTGAGTAGCTAGGATGAGCTACCGGTGCCCAGCGATCCTACCCATTTCTACCAGTGCAGCCATCTTTTGATCAGGTCAAGGAGTATGGGAGTAAGGGAGCCCACTCTACACCAGCCCATCTGGCCAGAGCTACCTAGAGGTAGATCCCTCCCAGATAGTAAGAGTAGAGCAGCCTCACCCCCAAGTCTCCTGGAGCCCTCCTCCTCAGAGGCAAAAGGGATGCTGGGGTCAATACTACCCACTGGGCAGCAGAGAGGCCTTGGCCAGAGCCCCAGCCCAGCCCCATCTCTGGCACCAGGACACCCTTAGCACCAAAATGTCAAAATGTATTTTTTTTTTTTTTATAAAAAACAGAATTTTAAAAAAGGTGTTACTTGTCACAGCAACAAGACTGGCATCCACAACACCCAAGACACGCACACAGGCAATATCAAAATTCACATCATCCAGGATCAGAGCCTGATCCCTCAGCCCTCCCCCCACTGAAAAACACCTCACCCAGCCCTTCCCAGCCTCCTCTCTGCAAATGGACTGGAACTTAGGCCAAGAAAGAAGCCACCCGATGAGGCTGCATGCAGGGCTACCACCCCAGGAGACCAGCCCCTGCCCATCTGGCAGACCTGGCCCTCCTGAACCCCAAAGGGCTGCACCTTGGCTGAGACCTCACCCATCACTGGCCTTTGGTTCCTCATTTCAGATGACCAAGCCAGCAGACATGCAAGCTGATAGAGGAGAAGAGGGAGGGCTTTCCCCAAGCCAGGCCTCTGGCCGACGGGCATGGTAAGCCCAGGCTGCTCCCATGGAAGCCACACATTATGGGTCCCTTCTGCCCAGCCCTCGCCCCGCCCTTTTGCTTCAGGCTGCCCATCTCAGGTTTACAGCTTCAGGAACAGAAGACTAGAGGCAGAAAACACCAGGCTCTCAGGCAGGTAGCAGGCAGGCAGCTGGGTGCCCAGCTCTCTCTCCGCAGGCAGAACAAGCAGTGGGGCTGCTTGCACCGTGGCACTGTGAGCACACAGGCGAGGAGGGTGCGGCTTGAAGCACAGTAGGGATGACAGAGGGGCAGGCCCAGAGAGGTAGAAACAAAAGGAAAGGGTCTGAGAGGGTGGCTGGGGGAGGGCAGGCGGCTGTCAGGTCAGTATGGCAGTGGTTGGACGGGGTCTGTCCTGGGAGGTAGCTGGGGATACCGGAGTTCCAGTGTTGGATGAAGGTGAGGGAGGCCCGGATGGTGCCAGCCAGCTGCTCAGGTGCCCGCATCAGCCAGAACCACTGGGTCAGGCTCAGACCTGAGCCTTGGGGGGCCCGAGTGGAGACCTCACTGGGCCCAAAGGGCACAGCAGGGACCCAAGACCTTCTGAACGCACTGCACTACCGCACTCATGGTGCCAAGGCCCAAGCCCTGCCAGGACCTTGTGCAGCCTGTGGGAAGAGCTGGTATCCCGGACTATTGCACTTCTGCTGCTGCCGCAGACACCCTGGGGCGCCCAGTCCGGATGTGCAAGCCAGCCTGAACAGGAAGGGCTATTTCAGGGAAGGGAGGCGAAGCTGGCGCCTCCCACTGAACAGATGGGCAAGGGTAGGGGAGTGGAGACCGGAGATCAAAACTGGCCCCCTATTCTCAATAGAGTGGGGCTTGATGGCCAGCCTGGTGGCTGGGCCCCCAGAGGCTCACTTTTCTGGGGACTTTCCAGCTCCAACCTTCCGCCCAATACCGCCCCGGGCCCCCTTGTCCCTGGCTCCTGGAGACCAGTCGTCCCGATGGAGAGGCAGCTTGGACTCAGACTCCTCTGGGGACCACTCCTTGGGCTTGCGGCCCCGCTTCTTCCCGCTTGCTAGACTTTTTTTCTTCTCTCTCCTGGTCATCAAGGAGTCCTGGCCCCTGTGTCTGGTAGGTGGGTCAGCTGAGGTCCGAAACCAGTTCTGGGGAAAGAAAAGCAGCAGTAAAAACCAGAGACCTGCCCCAAAGCTAGACATAGCCACCTTTAGGCAGGCAACCCCAAGGAATTAGGGGCAGGGCTTCCATCCAAAGAGGCTCCTGCTCAGGGCACCACCACAGGACAACAAGGCCTTGTGGCCCTTCCAGGAAGCTAGGCATCACTTTGAGAAGAAACCACATGTACACCGTCTGAGATACCCATGCTGCACCATGTAACCCCGGGCACAAGCCCAGAGCATTGCTTTCACACCTCTGCATGGGTCTTGAGGATGTGGTACTTGACACCACTCTCAGAGCTGAACTCCTTGGGGCACAGCAGGCAGTGGTATTTCCCCACCAGGTGGTCCCCCTGCAACACAAAGCAATATAGTCCTCAACCCATGAGGACCCAATCACTGGATCTGGCCCAGCCCTGGCTCAGCTGCTAATGGATAGGGGCAGATGCAGCCAGAGAAGCGCACGGTCTCCATGCCAAGATGTTTATACAATGGGTAGGCTCCAAGGACCCCTAGGACCACCCCTCAGGAGGCCCACTGAGCCATCCCTGCCACAGGGGATGCAAAAGGTAAGGTGAAGGAGTGGGAAGAAGCAGGTGCCCCAGCGACAGGTCCTCATATCAAACTAGCATGCCCTGTGTCCAGGTCAGAGTGAGCACTGTATCCACACCGATAAGGAGCACCAGTGCAAGACCTGCAACTGACAGATTCGTGGCCAAGATAGGGTTCGCACTGATAAGCACGGACCCCTGGTAGGAGAGGGTTGTAAGTGCGGGGAGGCCCCAGCACTGACCTTGCTGCAGCTGGCAAGATGGGCCTTGAGTCCAGACACACTGGAGTAGATGGCTTCACAGCACTGTAGGCGGGAGAAAGCCATGGGGTGCCCTGTCAGGGCCCCCCACACCTCAGCCCCAGGGAGTTCCAGGACCTCGTTGAGACAGTGTAGGGGCACTAACCCTAGGTATGGTAGGGTGTGGACAGGCCAGGTATGTGGGCTCAAGGTTGAGGCCCCTTCTGTCAGTGGGTCATCACCTAAGGCACTGCAGGAGCCCAGGTCAGAAGCAGGGCCTCACTCTGAGGGTGGGCATCTCCTCACAGGCCTGCCTCAGCCTCGGTTGCTGCCTGAAGGCTATGCCTGGGCCCTCTGCGCCGGAGCCCACCTCCCACCCCATCCGCAGCCCCAGCTCACGTCATTGGGACAGTTCACGTGGCCCTTCTCTTTGACTTCACTCTTCCACGCCTCCAGCAGCTGGGGATTGAGTGTGGGCAGGCCTGGCCGGGTGTAGTTGAGCTGCAAAGCCAGGCAGAGCACCTGTTGAGGCCTAGGCTAAGGTGTCACTGCTCTGACATGTGTTTCTGCAGCAGCCTTAAGGCCCCTCGATAAGAGGACAGGCAGATGATCAAGGCCCCACGGGCACAGCCGTCATGGAGGCCTCTGAAATGAGGCAAGGAAGGCCTGGCCACAGACAGGAGGCCAGCGGCTTTGAGGGAAGACCCTGGGAGTGACCGTGGCTCCCAGTGCTGTCCAACACTCGGGTGGGCTGCTCACCCGTGCAGTCTCGGGCACAAGGTCATCCTTCATGCGCCTCTTGGTCCAGTCATGAGCCAATTCATCCTCAGCAATCTCCTGCAAGTGGAACACAGCAACCTGGGCCGAAGTTCGGCGAATACGGCCACTTGGGGTCCGCTCCACACCCAGGTCTTCAGCCTCAGGGGTCTTATCTGTGGGCTCCTCGGAGGGCTGGAGAGCAAAGAGAAAGACACAGAGACCACAGTGAAACACAGGATAGCTACAGACAGCATGAGGTGCAGACCGTGCGTGGCCATTGTAAGCCCAGGGAGGATGCAGGGTGCATGCAGGTATGAGAAGGATGTAGGCCACATAAGTAGTGCCAGCGAAGATGAAGCCCCAGGCTCCCATGCTCCTTTTTTTCTTTTTGGTCGGTTAGGGGCTTGAACTCAGGACC